TGTCCAGATAATTTCTTTCTATTTTTAGTAGAGACGGGGTCTCGCTCTTGCTCAGGATGGTCTCGAACTCCTGACCTTCAGCAATCCACCTGCCTCGGCCTCCCAGAGTGCTAGGATTACAGGCGTGAGCCACCATGCCCAGCCTTTCTAGGGATTTTTACTCTCAAAATCTCCTCTCTCATAATTTTCCCACGTAAGTTTTCTATTTTCATCAATTTAGACTTAGAACTTAACTTAGTTTATACTTATTTAATTTTGTGAAATTGGAATATTTTAGTTATTATTGTTTATATTAATCTTTGCTATCTTCACTCATGGTCTGACACGAAAATTCAACTTAATGATTTGTTAGTTAAAATTGACAAAACTAAGTAAGTATAATAAAAATACAAATGATTAAACTTCCATATTATTTTTTTAGTAACAATTCTGAGTTATAAAGGTTGCACAAAGACTTATGGAACTTGCTGTAATACACACACACACATGCATGCACACACACATTTGACAAATTAATTGATTATTTTTAAATCCAAGGCTTAAATAGTTCCTCATTTTCTTTATGTCTTCCATAATTTGTCTTGATCCTGATTTTTTTACTCTGCCCAAAATACAGTCCCCACTCTCCAGAGCTTTGGAACATGTGTGCCCCACAGTTAGCCAGGAATAGGTTATGGTGAGCTGAAGTACTAATCCTTAGGATGGAGAGAGGGGCTGTGGAACAGAAGCCTGTGTTTGAGTCTAGTCTTAAGCAGCCTCTTCCGATTTCTCTGCTGTCTTCTATACATTTTCTGTCCTTCAGAGTATGCTTCATGTCAAAGGAAAAGAACCCCAACTCTGTAAAATAATGTAAAGAGGTTTATTATGAGCTAAGGATGTGTGCCCATGGCCGACAGCCACACCCAAGAAGCCTTGGGCAAGTGATCTCACCATGGTTGGGTTACAGTTTGGTTTTATACATTTCAGGGAGACAGGAATTACACATAAAGTCATAAATCAGTGCATGGAAGGCTATTAATAAAGCTTTAGAGGAGTCAAAAGTTATATGTGGATCTTCAACTGTGCATTGGTACCCCTCACTCCTTCAACAGGGCATTGGCACCCCTCACCTCCACATTGCTCAAGGGTCAACTCTACTTTTAATTCTACAAATCATATACTTCTTGCCAGATCAATTTTGTATTTGTCTTAGTCTGTTTATGTTGCTATGACAAAATACCTGAGACTAGGTAATTTATAAACAACATAAATTTATTTCTCATAGTTCTGGATGCTGAGAAGTCCAAGATGAAGGTGCTGAAACATTGGTGTCTGGTGAGGGTCCAATCTCTGCTTCTGAGTTGGTGCCTGATTGCTGTGTCCTCACATAGAGGAAGGCAGAGTGGCAAAGGGGGCCTAGTTAGTTCCCTCCAGCCTTTTTATAGGGACACTTAATCTCATTCATGAGGGCAGAGCCCTCATGACTTAATCACCTCCCCAAGGGTGGTGATTGATACTGTTGCACTGGGGATTAACTTTCAATATGAATTTTGAAGGGAACACAGACCACAACAGTATTTAATGCCATAAATTCCCCTATGAAGACAGAAGTAGCTGCAACTCAGCCATAGTGATATGTAGTATTAATTTTTTATCATTTGGTTGAAATATTTTCTAATTTCCATTGAGACTTCTTTGTCCCATTGATTATTTAGAAATGTATTTCTTAATTTTCAAATATATGAGGATTTTAAGTTATATTTCTGTTATTTATTTTTAGTTTAATTGCATTGTGGAGAGAGAACATGTTTTACATGAATTCAGTTATTCAAAATCTATATAGACTTGCCTTATTACCCAGCAAATTATCAGTGTATATATGTTTTGTGTGTGCTTGAAAAAAATATATATTCTGCAGTTTGGGGATATAGTTTTCCATGTATCAATTTTGCTAATCATATTTTTCAAGTCTATATTCAAACTGCTTTTTTTGCTTTATCAGTTCTGAGAGATGTGTTAGATGATGGAGGGAGTTTCTGGAGACCAGGAATGTCTCAAAAGAAAGAGTATTAGGGTGTGAGAGACTGGGCTGGGGGGAAGACTAAGGAACAAAGATGGAGCAGAAGCAGAACAGAAAGCCCCATTCAGCAGGGCTGGGGAGGGGCAAAGAGGTAGTGAGGAGGGCTATGGATTGGATGAGAGGCTTAGAAGGCAACTGTGTAGCAGGATGAGGTAGACAATCAGCACACAATCTGCATCCTCCACGCTGTCCCTGTGGCACCTGGTGACAGCAGTCGTTCTCTTACCCATTCCACTCTTCTCCCTCAATCAAAAACAAATCAAGTCAATGGGAAAGTGACAGTCCCTGCCCTTTGTTGACCACTTGGAGCTGGGGCCAAAGAGAGTCTGGGAGGTCAGCCGGCCTTCTAGGCATCAGGTTCTAAAGGACAAGGCACAAGGGTTGGGCTACACGGCAACCCCAGGACATAGCAACAGCAGTTGGAAATGTGTCTCCTGATCTAATCAGGACAAATGCTCTCACATTGAGCTCAGACAGCACATGTCTCAGGTTCTTTAAGTGTTCCTGAAGTGGGGCGGGGTGTGCAGGTTGTGGCGGCCCCTGGCTTTTGTGTGCTGAGCTAACACCCATTATAGAGCTTTACCTTCCCTGTGCTCCTTCCCAGAGGCAGCCAGGTCAGGACTGTATTCCCATTTCATAGTCACCGAAGCTGGAATTCAGATAAGTAAAGTACCTTGCTCCAGGTTACCCAGACTGTTTGCAGGTAAAGCTGAGGTCAGAAGCCAGGCCTCCTGGTCCCTAATCAATAAGGCCTGCTATACTACAGCATGGCTGGAAGGCTCCCCTCCCTAGGGTGGGGTATCATTCTTGCTCTCTCCCTCCCAGTTATAGACAGGTACTTTGATGCCACACGGGAAACTATCCTGAGCCTGCCGAGGAGGACCCAGGAGGAGGAGGATATGTTGGTACAGTGTCAGGGCGAGGGTCAGGGGGTCTCGGTAAGCTCTGTGGGAATCAGGGAGAGAGCAAAGAAGGGCAGGAAAAGATGAGGTCCTTGAATGTGGATCACAGAAGCCAGGGAAGGGGTGGGAGGTGGCGGGGAGCAGGCCAGGGTGTGAGCAGATGCCCTCCTCCGTTGTCTGGTTTGGGGCCAGGACTAAACTTGATCGGGATGCTGTGTGTGTTGACAGCCTCACCAATTTCCTTGCCCTTCTGGGTGGACCAGGTGCCGTCAGAGGGCGGATAGTTGGGGAGATGGTGAATGGGCAGTGTTGCCAGCACAGGACCCCAGAGACCCTCTTAGGGTCAAGTGGGAGGACTGTGTGCACATGTCTGTGTGTCTGTTTCCTCTGTGGGGAGGGAAAGGTGCTGGGCAGCTCCAACTCCCTGCTCCCCCACAGTGCTCAGTGGACTGGCCACCAGTGCCCAGGATCTCCTGGATATGGCCTCTCTGGGGAACCAAGTGATGAACAAAACCTCCAACCAAGTGGCCATCAAGGCTCCCTATACCCTCCTGCTTCTCTTCAACCATAGGCCCCTGGTGAGCAAAAGCAAGGTGGGAGTGGGAGGTAGCTGGGGTTGGATGGGTGGGCTAAAGGGGAGAGGCTGGAGACAAAGGTGGGGAGGGGTAGTATCTGTCCACTTGCTTGTGAAAGGCTGACTCACTGGGCTATTCCAGGGTAGCAGGGGGACCCTGTTCAGCCACCTCTTCCCCTTGTCCAGAAAAGGGTACAGTCAGAAAACATTCCACTGTCCATTCACTTATTCGTTAATTATGCAGTTCTGTCATTTGCATTTACTGGGCACCCTCTACCTGCCAGGCACCGTGCTAGGCCCTGGAGATACCAAGATGAATGGTGAGCTGAGGCAAACTCATTCTGTTTCCTTGTACGCAGGTGGCAGAGAAAGCTCTGAAGACCACTGGCCACACCTTCTTCCTCCTACCATTATCCAAACTCAAGAAGCAGATGAACCAGTTAACCCAATGGGTAATGACTTTGACATTGACAAAGGTGATACATTTCCAAGGTGATAGGGGTGAGGATGAGCAGGAAATGTACCTAGTTCACGCATTCTATATTGAGCAGTTCATGCTGAAGCATGTGTTCATAATTAAGGTTTTACTGCAATTCAGCCATGCCCATTCATTTACATATAGTTTGATATTGTCCAAGGCTGCCTCCAAGCTACAACGGCAGAGTGGAGCAGCTGCCACAGAAACCCTATGGCTGGCAAAGCCTAAAATATTTCGTATGTGGCCCTTCACACAGAAAGTTTGCTGACTCCTGAGTGAATGCATCCTGCGTTTATTGAGTGCCTACTCTAAACAGGGCTGGGGAAGTGGACATGGATAAGCCATTATGCTTGTCTCAGAGCTGCTTTCTAGCTACGGGGAAGAGGCAACTAGAAGAAGTAGATAAACTGTGATTATGAATAGTTCTGCCTATAGGAATTTAAGGAAGCTTCTCAGAAGTTGTGACATTTGAATTGCACCTTGAAGAATGAGGCAGACGGCATAGACCAATAACAAGTTAGGAGGTTGAATCGGTACTAAAAAGTCCCCCATGAAAGAAAAGCCCAAGACCTGATGCCTTCACGGCTGAATTCTACCAAACATTTAAAGAACTAATAACGATACTTCTCAAACTCTTTCCAAAAAAAAAAAAGTGAATAAAATTGAAGAAATTCATTTTATGAGGCCAGCATTACCTTTATGCGAAAACCAGACAAGGACACTACAAGAAAAGCAAATTATAGGCCAATATCCCTGATGAACATACATGCAAAAATTCTCTACAAAATATAGCCAACCAAATTCAACAGCACATTAAAAGTATCATTTACCATGATCAGGAAACTTAGAAATGTTTTCTTGAGGCACATCTGATGACCAGGCCCATGCTGGGACAGGGCCTGACCCTTAGTGCTCTCTCCAGGCCTTTCTGGCAGAACCACAGCTGTGCTCCCTCCCTTTGAGGGGGACTTGAAAATGTTTTTGGGAGGCACACAGATGGTCAGGGCCTTGGCAAGGCCATGGCTGTGTCCACTTCACCCTCCCCTGCCTCCCAGTCTGCCATAGGCCAGTCCCTGCCCACAGAGTGGACTTGGGAACACTTGGGTAGATTTTCTAAAGACCATGGCCTTACGTGGGACAGTAGCAGGACCCAGACCCTGATCCCCAGGCCTCCCAGCACCTGAAGGGAGATTGAGAAATGTTTTAGGAAGGCACTTTTCTACTTTGGAGTGGGTTACTGATGCAGATTAACAGGGAGGCCCGAGGAGTACAACGGTTCCAGCCTCAGTACCACTTGGGGCCTAGAAGTGGCCTCTAAAGAGCAAGGACTTAGGCTGTGGCTTGTCCCAGTGACACTGATCTTTTCTCTGACATTTCCTCCTCCCTGTACAGTCTCTCCAATTACCTGAAGGAGAAAACAATAGGACATTAGGCTGAGGGATATGAGGGAGCCAGGTCATCTAGCACCCATTTTGCAGATTGAGTGAGACTGTATTGATTAATTAGAAAAGCATTGCCATTTTTATGATTTTGAGTCTTCTTGCCCCTGAAAATGAATTCTCTGTATCTCTGCAGTATAGAACCATATGGAAAAAGATGAAGCAAATTAGAAGGCAAGATCAGGAAAATCCCTCAACACTATTGCTCAGGAATTAAACATTTATCCTGTAGGCAAGTGGTTCTTAATTGGGGGATGATTTTGCCCCCCAGAAGACATTTGGCAATGTTTAGAGACATTCTGGTTGTCACATCTGGACCTGAGGAGAGTTGCTCTTGGAATCTAGTGGGTAGAGGCTAGGGAGCTGCTAAACATCTGAGAGTGCACAAGACAGCCCTCCGCAACAATTATCCAGCCCCAAATGTCAATAATGCCTAGGTCAAGAAATCCCGCTGCGGACAATGGGGAGCGATGTTATAGCTTTGTGTGGAGATGGTTGAACTGGAGTGATAAGGGACTGAAATCAGAGACCTGAGTGAGGAGGCCTCCCAGGAGTCTGGGGTCTGAAGTAAGGCAGCAAGGTAGAGAGGGCAGACTTCAGAGAATATTCAGAAATCAAATCAGTGTTCTTATTACCGAGGGGAAAGAAAGAGTGAGGGAGAGAGAGAGCAGGAAGAGGAGTCCAGTGTAACTACCAGGTTGCTGGCTGGATGATGTCAGGTATGGTAAGAAACTGGGAAAGAGAGGCTGACTAGGAAGCAAGAGAATGAATTTGGTTGGGTGTTTGTTCCATCCAAGTAGATATTCATTTATTCCTTCATTAGTTATTTATTGAGTCTCAGCTATGATCCAGGTATTATTACATGTGCCAGTCAGAAAGCAAGACTCTGATGGAGCTGATATCCCAGTGGATGAAACAGACAATAAACAAATATACTTATATGCATATGTATACACTCACTTTGATTCTTGGAGCTATATAAGCAGCAGTTAGATTATGAGTTTGGGGCGTCAAGAAAAATATGAGCTGCACATACAGATTCGAGAATTACCAGCATACAGATGATAGTTGAAAGTGGCGTAGAAAAGGTTGCCCAGGGAGAGAGTATGAATTACTTTCTGTGGGATCGTTTCTACTGCTATGATTTTTTACTTCTTATGGGATTTGTGCAATCATGTGCAGTCGATGTTTTAGGTGGTATCAACTATTAATACAGTAATGCAGTGCAATAAAAACCACATGAAAACCTAGTAAATCAATCCCTAAAAGAAAAATGAAATTAAAAGAGGTATATGTTAATGGGTTTTAGAATGATTTGTTTGAGCAATAGTTAACAGAAATTATTAGTTAAGAAGTACAGTTTTAGTTACAAACAACAAAGACAATTCTCCCTCCACCTTTGGGCAGCTAGGGTTATGATGTCCGCCTCTGGGCACTCCGTAGAGCGGTGAGAGCAGGAGCGAGGCTTCAGCACTCACGCTGTGTGCCAGGACAACCCGTTTGGCCAACACTTGCTGTGTGCAATTGCCTGTGTGGCTGGAGGGGCAATGAGAGATCAATGGAGAACATCACTAGAAGGAGAAACTAAAGCTTGAAGAAGGATGAACTAACCAGGTCATGGTACCTGGAAATGCAGGTGCGAACTGACACACTGAACTGGAGAACTAACTGGCTGCTCTCAAAATCATCAGAACTTAAATCGTCAACCAAGAGAGCCAGAGATCGTTATTAATATGATTAATAATAACAACGGCTAACTCTGAGGACACTGTCAAATTTACTGTCGCTCGACAATAAAACGTACTCTCCCACCGCCAACAAGGGCGCCAAGACCTAACACTGAGGGAGCCCGAACTCTCGCGAGGACGGACGAAACCTCGCGAAGCTCAGCGCCGCGGGAGCCGCACTCTCGCGACAACGGCCGCCAGCTCGCGGAGGCGCGGCTTTGGTGGAGCGCGAAGGCATGGCCCGGCCCGGGGCGTCCTGGAGTCGGCTGGACAGGGAGCAGGAACGCGATGTGCGCGAGCTCGTCCGGCGTGTCACTGGACTCCAGGACGAGGCGGACCCCAATTTCCAGCTCGCTCTAAACTTCGCCTGGTCTAACTTCAGGTGTGGGCGCGGCGCGTCGGCCGGTTCCTGGCCACAGCACTCGGGCCCAGCGCTCGGGTTCCCGCCGCCCGCCGGAGCCCAGAGCCTGGGGCGGGGAGGGGTGCTCAGTCGGGCCGCGGGAGCCTGGGTGGGTGAGTGGGCGCGACATCCTCGGGGAGGCCTTCGCAGGTGGTGCCCCCGGCCCCCAATTGTGGGTGGTTGAGTGTCAGCCCCCTTCAGCGCTGCGCTGCTAGACAGCACGTCCGTGACTGCCCTGTTCCATGCTGTACCTACTGCACTTAGCGCAGTGCATGGCACATCAGAAATCATTTTTTCAGTGAATGGGCAAGTGAATTTTTAGAGCAAAAGTATGGTCACGCTCTGAAATTGTGTTCTCACTGACTCCCTCTCCCTGCCCAGGCCACTGCAGATTTCCCTTAGTTTTTCCAAAATGCAAATCATAACACACTGAATAATTTTATTTAGTGTTTACTCTGTTTCCTCCACTTCTACCTCTAGCTAGTTGTATCCCAGCACCTAGAACAGTTCCTGGCACATAGTACACTGAGTCATGTAATACAATTTCTAATGTAGTTTCTCTTGTAATTAATTTTTGAAGATTTATACAGTTTAGATATTTAGGTGGAGTCAGATCTCCTGTTTTTCTTTATGGGTGATGTAAATTAAACAATAATTTTATGGTCATTACCCTTAATGGAATTATTAATATTACCAAAAGAATGTTAGTCATTTTTAATATTCTACCTGTTTAATTTCAGTAAATTAAATCTTGATTAGTGAACAGTTTTTCAAAATATGTAATCTTGATTACCTTAATGATCGTACCCATAAAGTGCAGAGTTGGTTTATATTAGGAATGGAGAGCTTTCAGATTCTTTGAAAGCATGCCAAGTTTCCGAAATAATAAACTCAGTGCTTAAATGCAACTTACAAAAATAGCCATGTGTGAAATAGGTCATATGATACAGAAATGTTGTGTCCCAAATAATTTTTCTCTGTATTTATAAATGGCAGTAGGCAGATGGTCATCATTTTAGAGTTGAGAGAGACGTTAGAAGTTACTATCTCCTTTTACAGATTGAGGAACTAAATTATGGTAGGTAAAGTGGTGTTCCGCTCAGCCATTTACTGGGATAGAATTATATGTATTATTAAGTAGTGTAGGGCTGGGCGCGGTGGCTCACACCTGTAATCCCAGCACTCTGGGAGGCCAAGGCGGGCGGATCGTTTGAGCTCAGGAGTTCAAGACCAGCCTGAGCAAGAGTGAGACCCCCATCTCTACTAAAA